TCATTTCTTCCTCTAGGATACCATGACATTGACAAAACTTATACTCATAAAATATCACTGGCAAAGTCTGTATAATAATACACAGTTAATGGCATCAAGCATTACATGGTGGCATGACTTTCTACAATCTTACCCAAAAAAGCCATTTTTTAATAAGCTGTTCCTCTCCCAACTCAGACTTCTGTGTAATATATTCAAATGCCTTCCTGCCCAAATGTGGCTCCTCATTAAACCTGATAACATTCATTTCAAAAAGAGTAGGCAAGAAAGAAAAGGAGACATTTCATTGTGTTGCGCCCTTTTCCTTCACCTTTTTTTCTGCTCAGAGAGCCAACCTGCCTTTCTAGAGTATTATAATACTCTTGAGTTAAATGAGTTAAAAGAGAGACTTACCAACTTCCCACATCCTGCCCTTAGTGTTAACAATGCCTATAGCACTGTATTTAGTTTGAAGCTATGCCGTGAGTGGAATCTAAATCTGAATTCATGCTAAATTACTTGGACGAGTCATATATTCTAGCAATTATCTTAAATCAAATATCTAACATGGCAAGAAGACTTAATAAAATCCAAAGATAGACCACTTGTGTTTCATTTAACAGGCAGGGTTAGTGACAGCTTTAAAAAGAAATAAAAGTACTTACTGCAAGGGCAAGACTCAAAATCGAAGCTGCATAATCAAAACTGTGGACTACTTTGTAGGAAGCTGTGCTATATACTTTCACCTTCCTAATAAAAAAGAAAAGCTTGTCATAAATGATCTTGGAAATAATCATAAAATGCAAACTTTCTATTTTTGACAGCTTAAAATATGAATATTAAAATTTATATAAACAGAGAAGAAAAACGATTAATAATGTTAATTACAAACTAATTTGTCACTGAATCCCTTAAAAAATGAACTGTATATGAGCACTAACCACATGTTTGTACAAAGACTTTGACTAGCTACTTAAAAAAGAAACAGAAGGATAGACAGTGAGCCACTGTCACCTGAAGATAAAACTTGGGAGTAAAGAAAAAGTATCAGTGGAAATACATTGGAAGTCAAAAGAACAGGGTTTTTCAACCCCAGCATCGTTGCCATTTTGGACCATAGAATTCTTTGTTGCGGACACTGTGCTGTGCACCGCAGGATGTTTAGCCGCCTCCCTGGCCTCTATCCCCTACGTGGCAATAGCACCAGGACCTGAAGTGGTGACAAAAACCAAAAATTTCTCCAGATATTATCAAACATTCCCTGGGGAATAAAAATCACTCTTAGTTGACAACTACTGCAAACGGAGCCAGTTTACACTTAGCTTTTTATGAACATCTAAAATTCAAGTCCCAAATTGCCTA